CCGGTCGGTTCAAGGATGCCCACTGATGAAGGGTCTCATACTAGAGTGAAAAAGCTGTCCAATGCTCCTAGGTCCTCAGTAGTTATCCAGCTGATGTCAGTCGGGGGTGAATATTGCCTTCTCTCTCTCTACATTTATACATATACATATGTCTTCCAGAAGATTTAGGAGCATTCCTATTCTAGGTGCAGACATGCTAGTATGTTTCTGGGCACGGCCAAATAATCAGCATGGTATTATAACCGGTAGAGTTGTTCATTAAACACTGTTATCCACTAATGTAAGGGAAAACCTGGGCAATGTGGTACAGTATGATTCCATATTAGATTATTTATTAGATGTAGCACGCAGTGACACAGTATAATTTACCTAATGACGTTTCGAGCAAAATTTATTGCTATAATTCATATCAAAGTAGTCATACGACTTCCAAACTTCCTCTATATAGTCCAAAGTTCACTCATTTATTTATTCATGTTCTGTTGAATCTCGTTACACAAGTATTTTCAGCTATTTTGTGATTTAGAAATTAGTTTGCTTTCATTGTCTCGCAAAACTGCTCTTAGTAAAGCTGGAAATAAAGTTTATAAGCATCTGGAGAAGAAACTTATTAAACAACTGAGTACAGGTATAATGTACTATTTGTTTAGGAATCCTGTTAAAGATGAATGATATGACTGATTGTGTGTATTACCATTGTCTTCATATCAATTTCCACTTCCAGTGCTTGAGGCAACATGATACACCTTTTAGTATACTATTACATCCATCATGTTTAGTCATTTCACATGACACATGAATTTAGTGAAATGATAAACTAACTCTCCTTCTTTAAGTGTTAAATATAATTGCACGTATCATGAAGGTAACTACGGGAAGGAAAAAGAATATTATTTTTTCTATACTTTACTTGTTTATTCTTCATGAAATAACTTATACATTTATTTAAGTAATATAAAGATGTGACATTATTTGTAGATCAAATGATGCTTCATGTGAAACCGAATGGGTCAAGATAAATGCTTGTACTAAATGAGATATTCACACCTGAAAGTATCATGCATTACTTATATTTTGCTTGAAAAATGCATTTTATTCTACTTTGATAGAAAAAAATCTTTGTTAGCATAAAAAGTAAACTGAATGGAATTGCTTCATTCAACCAGTGAATAACTGCACTTAGAGTTGTCACATTCTCTGAGCTATATGGTTTAATTGCCAAATATTCCTTGTCATGTAAAATAAAATTGTAGATTATCTCAAACAGAAATGGGTATTGTAGATAAAGATTTTTACGAGTGACAGTAAAAGTTTCCCAGTTCATATACTCGCTGAAAAGGATCTATTACTGGCGAAAGTATTTATCCGAGTTAAAAAGCTTCAAAATTCCAAAATATCATTCTATGAAACTTATAATCCATAATGCAAACCTCAGATGCATTATTCAGCGTCCTCCTTGTCAGCTATCAAAGTAGTAGATAAATTTGACTTAAGTCTCCGTTTCGTGGTATTAATTTATTGATGCTTGTGATTTCGTGCTGTTATAGTTGGTCGAAATGATAGACCTCTAATGGTAGGCAGTCGCGGTACCAGGTCCAAAAGACTACAGAGAACAGAGTGCAATGAAGGCGTGCTACTGAAGCCCTATGTCCCACTAGGAGCCCAAGGGAAGAATAATAATAAATAATAATGGTAGATGGGCTCCTATGTAGATGCTTCTTTATCTCCTGAAGATTGATCATGTTATTATTCGTTTAGAGGTAGTTAGCAATATGGAATCCAAGACATAGATTTCCTTTTACTTGAGGCTTTTCATCTGGATGTACGTTCATGACGATGAATGATGTTCTTCCGACTTAGACTGGAGCCCAGAACCCATATCTTCAAAACCCAGGGTGTTATGCGCTATTCTACTAAGTGTGAGCATCCAGGAAATGGTGACATCCCAGCAAACAACGATCCAAACGGTCATAATAAACTACAGTTTTCTGCTAAGTTTTCTCATTATGCTTTTTAACACATCAAAGTTCTAGCAAATTACTCCCCCTCATGATATTCAAAAGGAAGTTTGTTTAATCTTTCTTCCTGCTGTGATCAGACGTAATAAGCAACCTCATTATTCCCTCATTCTCCTTCCCTTCATTCATATTCCTGTAGTGTTTTCATTTCACGGCTGTTTGTTCACTTCCTTATGTAAGTTTCATCTTCTTCAATTCTTGATCAACTTTCACTAGAGAAATCCGTTTTCTTTATGTCATACTGTTTCATTTATTTTTGTCATCACTATTAAGGCTGCAGTTATCAAATATCTAATACTTATAACAAGATTCAGTATAGCTTCAGTTACGGAAATAGATTGAAATGGAAAACTGTCATATTTTAATACACTAATTCTCTTACTGGTATAAATGCCAGCAATGAATCTCTCCCTACTTGATGTGTTATACAGCTTAAGAAAATCAGAGTTTTGAATTCTGCTTCTGATTCGTCAGAGAATTTCATGGAATTGAAGGGAGTATTCACATAATAGATGAGCTCTACGGAAGCTTCGCATATATGTTCATGCCTTTCTGTAGTCAACAAAAAGGACGGATTGGATGTCTCACAAATTCTGCATAAAATGTTCCGAATAATATACGGACAGGTGATTCAACACAACTTAGTTTCACACTACCCCACATGATATATTCCTAACGTATTCAGCTTCCTAAGCAGTAATTTATCCTTACTCTTTCCAAATGAATCATCCCCATAATGTGTACTTCACAATCGAAATGGATTCTTCACCTTATTTTTGTACTCCCTTACTTGATCAACTAGAATGAGCATCGCTGACTCAGTTGTTAATATCCATGACCTAAATTATATTGTTCTTTACTGTAAGAGTAAAACTTTGGTTCCATATTAGATTTATTTATTTGATATGTATTGCACTGTGATGCTACAGCATTATCTACTTGGTGACACTTCGAGTACAGATTATTACTCATAATCATATTAATATGATATGATCATGAGCAATAATTTATACTTGAAAGGTCATCAAATAAATAATACTGTATCACCACTGCGTACAATATCAAATAAATAAATCCAATATGAAATTACAATCTACCACAGTGCTCAAGTTTTACTTCTATATTAATAAAACTTATGGTCTTCCTTCCAAACTCAAACTACTTTCACACACGGAAAGGAGATATACAAACCATTGTATTTTCAATATACGATGTCTTGAAAATATCTTGGAAAACGTTAGCAGACTCTGTCTAAGAGAAATTTACAAGATTATCAAAAATTTAAGTAACATACGGAATAAAATTGAAAAACTAAAATGTCAACTTATAAAAAAACTACGAATTTTGAATAGAAATAGTAAAATTTGAGCCCTGTAGTGAAATGTAATTACATGTTAGGTTAGTTTATTTGAGAAAGCACACAATGATAAAGTGTATACTAGATGGCATTTTGAATAGAATTTACTGCTCATGTTCACATCGAAGTTCTATGTAATAATCTAACTGGATGATCAAAAAGGTCCCCTTCTGTACTAAGCTTAAACATTAACCTGAAAGTTTAATATAGTATTAGATCTGTACTCCTCTTAAGTGTCTTCCTGGCAGGATCAAAACGTTTAAGAATAACACAAAATATTTACTGATTCTTTTTTTGAATATACTACACCAAGATTGCACCAGAGAAATACGCCGTATGGAATGAATCACATTGACTCATTGCCCAGATTTTTCTAAAAACTATGTAATCCTTCGTTGGTCTGCATAAATTTAATCTCAGTCAGTGTTAGAATGAGATTTTTCATCACTGAATGGTAATGTTGTAAAGGCTTACATGCTTCACTGATTGTACTCAACTTTGAAAAGCTTAATACAATATGATTTTGAGGTTTATGGGGATTTTATTGATTTTAGGTTGAGATTCATAATGGACTGATAAAGTTTCTCCAACTGATGTCAGTCCATGATAAATGCAACCTGAAATACAATCTGGATGGCTTGTAGTTAGCTGAGATAATGTTTATGTTGTGCATCGTCTTAGTAAACAGTCTGAAATAAACAAAACACTAACATGTTATGACTTTCAATTTATTCTCATTGTCAGTTAATAACAACTAACACTAATCATGAGCAACGCCGATAATTTGGCATATTGCAGTCATCAGTGGATGAAGTTGTTCTCTTTTCTTGTGTAATGGGGTTTGAATACTTCTATAAATGCACTAGAGGCAGTCACACGAATTAAAGATTCAAATGGCTATAAAAGAATAGTCTGAAAAGAAGTAATGAGGAATGCGGCAGATATTGTAGAATTGAACCAGAATGACTTCCAGGTTGTCATCTACCACATCATTTGGAGAATCATTGAAGACTTAGGAGCACTGGAAAGCGAGGGACTCCTCAGCAATGCACACCCATGACCCTGACGGGGATCGAACCAGGGACCTTCAGGTTTCGCGGCGGACACATTACCACTGAGCCTTTGAATCGAAGTAAGTCACTCATGAACATTGAACAGTAACAAAATTTGGAGGTTTGGGGGGAAGTAACAACTGTCCAGTGCTCCCGGATTTCCAGTAGTTGTTCAGATGATGTCACTCCATGATGGATACCAGCTTGAAATCAATACATCCCCATAAACCTCCAAACTGAATTGCTCAGACCTTAGTGGAAATGCACCTAATATATGACTCACTTTCACCACTTTATTGAAAAACCTTTGAACGCTGACCATAATCCCTTTATTCCATAGGCAGCAATGTATTAAATCGAGACGAAATAGAGTATAGCATCATATTTACAGACTTGAGAAGGCCCTTTTCTATCAGAATTAAAATGTTGGAACAAAACTGACTGTTTGCTTATTATTTACTTCAATTTATCTCCAATCTTCGTAACTTTGAGAGTAAAAAACCAACGTGCAATTTCAATAAAATTAGTGACACGATTCACAGATGTCATTTTACTGCTAATTTTTCTCTTCAGGAACCGGCACTTTTGGTCGCGTTATTGTGGTTCACGATAAATGTTCGCAACAATACTATGCTTTAAAAATATTAATCATTGAAGAATTAGTACGATTAAAACAAGTGGAACATGTGAAGAATGAGAAGTCAATATTGATGCAGTTAAATCACTCATTCATTGTAAAGTTGTAAGTTGAAACACGTATAATCTGTTTACTTGGTCAAGTATGTGTTCACACGTTCTTTTTAGTGACAACAGTAGTAATGATGTAATACTGAAATAGTTTGCTGTGTTGGAAGATAGGCCAAAACTATAGATAAATTTGAACAACGTTATTTAACCTTATATCACAAAATCTATCCTGTCTATCCTGAATGGGTTTTGGCATAAGGTATGCTTGATGAGTAAAAGAAGTACAATGTATGTGTCCTCAACCAACAAGTATTATAGACTATGGTTTAATGTAATATACTATTGTTGTCCTTGTTGTTTGAAACGAAATTTGCGTAAACTGGAAATGTTTAACAACAGATATACTTCTTGTCTTTTCATGCACGATACAATCAGTCTTCACTTCAGCCAGTTTGATGGAAACTAGACTACATTAATTTCCTCTTCGGTAAATATCACTACTAATGCTGCTAAACTTTGCAAATAAACCAAGTATACAAAACCCACTAAATAAAACTACTTTTATACAGTATCTTTTGTACAATATCAGATTATCATTTATTTATTTATAAAGTTCTTTTCAACAGTAAGCCATTCGCTTCAAAAGTCCTCTGAAAGTATCATTTAATTGCTAAGGTATATCAGCAAAATGGTCGACTGGATATATCATTTCCAGTTGAGTATGGTTGTATCTTGAAATTGTATCGCTATATTTCGAATCAGTACTGGCTGAAAAGAGAATGAGTTATTATAGTGATAATTATAATTATTCCTAACGACTTAGTTATACAGGTGATGTTCACTGTTGATCCTACAATTTTGTTTTACAACAGACCATGCACTTAAATCTTCCTTTCTTGCAGAAATTGCTTTCTCTTGGTAATTATTTTGAATATTTTTTCATCACAATGATAAAATTTCTAGCTTGGAGTTACTATTGTGAAATACCTTGGTCTATGAAATTCCAACAGAATAGTGTGGATATCAGGTTATAATCTCAGTGGTAATGCCCCAAATAGTCACTTCTGATGCGAGAAATCGCGTAATACACTGTTAATACTATCAAAAAGGGAAAAGGTCAGTTGCAATAACAACTCAAACCAAATTATAAATATATGAGGAGAGTAAATAATTTAACAGCTGAGTTGTCTGTTATACAATTAGATTTGAAGAAGAGAACTCTATACGACCGATTGAGAAACGGAAAAAAACTTGTCTCTCATTCACGCATTAGTCAATAGAGTAAAAAACTAAGTATGGGAAAATTGAATCTTATTACAATCCAGTTTTTTAGGGTAGATAGATAGATAAAAAATAAAGCAAAGTGGTTTCTGTTCACTTTCGCTTATTACTTTCGTAAAACAGAATGACTACATCAGCTGAACACGAAGTAACAACCAGGGGTAAAAATGTAAAATACTTTGGCAATGCGTAATGATGTTGATTAGTCACCGAAAGTAACCAAATTCATGTTGTCTAATCACAACTGCTGACCTAATTCTATCTATCATTTCGTAGTGTGGCGACCAAGCTAGAAGGCTCACCGCCGCAATGTACTTTGATTGATGCAGATATGCCTCTTAACAAGGTTCTTTCATTTCCAAACAATGAGAAGTATTTGACGCTGCTAGGCGTTTGAGATGATGGAGAATAGTTGCAACTCAAGAGGATGATTTTAGTGTCGTGTTCTCTAGGCTGGAAGTTTTTCTGATTTCGTCTAGAATGGCAATGAAAGCTTTACGCTTGAAACATCCAGCTTAAGGAACACAACATTCAAAACTTTGATATTTATGGGTTAGAGGCAGTCGGCGGAAGCTCTGAGCCTAAGTTTTATGGTTGTTGGCACTTGTCAGCAAGACGTATCTGCAACCTCGAAAGAAATGATCTCATCACTTAGATTCAAACCTTAAACACCCAGTGGTAAATTTGGAGAAACTACGAATGAGCTGTTTGGGTTACGACTGACTTCCACGAGGTTGCACATATACCTTGCTGAGAACTACCAAATAGTAAGAAACCTAAGTCAAATAGAACTTCCTACCGGTCACCTTCAACGAACTAATATGTAGTAAAGCTGTATGAATGAATTAGTTCCATTTGGTTGTGAGACGTAAATTGTGTTATTGTTGTATAGAACACTGTTAGTTTCAAGTAACTTTTGTGCATAATCACAAAACATTTGACATTCTAGATTTTGTACACATAACTTCGGGATTAGATTCATACAAAACACATTTGACAGTGTTGAATGAATGATAATTTAACAATAGTGATAGCTGACTTCAGACAAGAGATGAATGAACTGACTGTTTAACGTAATCTTATTCATGGTTTACCACATTAAGAATAATGAGAATCTGTGTCAAGGAAAAGCAATTATGTTGCATGCCTACGTTAAATAGAGTCAAAACAAACTGTAAATTCATTCAGGCCTTCGACAGTGTCAACCGACAAGTAATTTGGCAGGCAGCTGCTTCAGTATTGCGGAGTGTCACAAATCTTTATCAACCTCATTCAACAGCTGTATGACGCGCCATATGCCAAGTGATCCACAATGGAAAGCTGAGTGACGCCTTTGAAGTGAAGACAGGGGACAGGAGTAAGACAAAGCTGCCACCTACTATCACCTATGATCTTCCAGATTGTGGTCGACTTGACTGGACTGGATCATGCAGCAGACAGCTGTGAGAGGCTATGAGAAGATGGGCATACGCTGGCTGGACTGATGAAAAGACCCTAGAAGAAGATTTAGATTTCTCCGACGACGATGATGATGATGATGATGATTTGTGTCTAATGTCTTGTCGCACAAACTCAAAAGATCTACAGGCAAAAACTAACAAGTTGACACAAGAGGTGGGGCAACGAAGACGGAACTCCAAGTGAATGTAGAGAAGATTCCCAAACAACAACAGCATCAACAACCAGAGTAACCAATCACCATCAATGGGAGAAACCTAAAGGATGTAGACTCTCTCACCTATCTAGGCAGGACAGCACCGATTCAACTACAGGTGGTACACGCACAAACGAAGATGTCAAACCACGATCGGAAACACATCAAGACAGGTCTTCCCTCATCAATCTGAAACCAGTGTGGAGATCTACTGCACTCAGCATAAAGCATGAACAACATTCGGATTTTCAACACCAATGTGAGTCAAGTCAGTCAGTTTTTCTATGTGATGGTTGAGAAACTCTGCGAGTCACGAAAAGCATTTACAACAAACTACAGACATTCATCAACAACTGACACCTACTCTCACTCCATACTCAAGATCACATCACATCAGATCAGATCAGATCAGATCAGATCAGATCAGATGGCGAGAATAATAAGAATAAGCAACAAGGAACTCTCGCATGACAACGAACCAGTGAAGCAAGAACCCATCAACTAACAAATATGCAGAAGAGGAAGGTGGAGGTGGATTGGATTGGACATACACTGAGAAATCCGATTGGGGACATCACGTGTCAGGTCAGGCTAGGCCAGGTCAGTCGAGGCCAGTGGTCGAATGGAATTCAATGGGGAGACCACGAGTTGAGCCTTTGAGTCGAGGGTGACATGGAGGAGGTTGTATGAGGAAGAAATGAGAGGTTGTGTGTAGTGGTGGCATGAGGTTGAAAAGACTGCAGAGAAAAGAGTGTAATGGAGGTGTGTTACTGAATCCCTATGTTCCACTAGGAACCCAAGGGAAAAATAATAAAATAATAACTTCATCTAGATATCATGTTAAGGACTACCATCAGTCCTTGAACAAAATTTTTTATTTTCTGAGATACATTAATGTGCTAAAATGTCATTCATTTGTATCCATAATAATATACATACGCTACGAAATAGGCTAATGCACTAATGACTAGGTAATATGGAAGAGGTTACCATCCACAAACTGATCAGAATGAATAATTCATTTGTTCATGAAATCAGTAGTAGATAAGTAATTTATTAGCTGCAAGTGGTATGAATTAGATTCTTTGAAGAGAAATTGACTGTCTCGATGTTGCATACACGTCTGCTTGATGAGTGTCACTAAAGATCTACTTGTGTCCAAAGATCTTCAACAATTTGGAATTTGAATTAAGATTTTGAGTTATTGATTACCAATTCTTTTCTTCTTCTTTCAAAATGACTTGCCATCTTCATTTAGTATCATTTTTACTCGGTAAGCTGATGACCTGAAAGTTTACGTACCTGTCACGTCTTCATTAGGTTGTTCTCAAATAAGTGATTTCTTATCTATTGTTAAACGATGGTCATTAGTGAAATGACCTTGTGCTTACTTTTTCATAATGTATGACTATCAGTTTTGGTTTCAGAACTGAACATTACCTGTGTAAGCTACTTAGGTCGCATGATTCCTGTTCTATTCATGGTTGTAGATTAGAAGCTGTCACGAGTGTGATTGATCTCGATGTGTGTTTTTCTTCGGACCTTTTCTGGTCCTCTCACATCTTACTGATTTCCAAAATAATTTTCCACTTAACTTTCTATATTAGGAAGCTGAGAATATCTGGCATAACTCAGCCTCTTCTCTTATGCTTTATAAATTCCTGCTTCTTACATATTCTTTTTTAGAAGTAGTATTCATCGTGGACTGACATCATTTGGGGAACCACTGAAAATCTGGACAGCTGTTTCGTCCTTGTATGGGACTCCTCATCAGTCCATGATGAATACTACTTCCAAATTGAAAATCCCCATTCATCTCAAAAATATTCCTTTTTATTGTTCCCCTTCATGCTTTCTTGGTTTGCTAAAAAAAGACTACACTATATTGCTTAGAACTATGAAGATTGTCAGCAGAACTAGTGATTTACCTCTAAAACTTCCAAATTACACTATTTTGATTAAACATCTTAACTCATGTAAACAGACGGCAGTAATTATTTTATCAGAAAACCATCATTCTCTTCATTCAAAGCTTTCTAGGTGTTAGTCTTCATCAGACACCAGGAGGGAGTATGTATGCATATATTAATGAATATAACAACTCTACCTTATTTAGCTAG